GCTGTAAATCTTAATCGGAGTAGAAAACCTCAACTTTTTATCTGGAGAATAGCTGGTAGTTCTGAACTGCTGACCTTGAGGTTAGCAGCCTGACACCCACACACACATATATATTTGTTGTGAAGTGCCATGGAGTCAGTTCAGACCCATAGTGACCCTGTATAGGGTTTCCAAGGAGCAGCTGGTGAGCCTGAAACACTGACCTTTCAGTTCAAAGGCTTTGCTGTCTGGCGCATTAACCCACAACACTACACCAGGACTCTGTCTCTTTTTCTCTCTCTCAGGGGAGAGAGAGAGAGAGAGAGAGACAGAAAGTATAGCTCTATATATAAGGAGAGTGTATCTCAACATCAAGGACAGGTTTATTCAAGACAAACCTGGGAGAATATATATATCTGCTGTCAGGTTGATGGGTTGATTCTGACTCATACCTACCCTGTGTAGGGTTTCCAAGGAGTGGCTGGTGGATGGGAAACACAGACCTTGTGGTTAGCAGCCCCACACTAATCTTAATAGTACCACATCACACAGTTTTATTAGTTTATTGTTGGTTGTTGTTTAATGTTGTCAAGTTTGTTCAGACTCAGAAACCCTATATAGAAGACACTTCTTGGTCCTGAGATATCCTCATATTTTGCTGTTTGAGTCCATTGTTGTAGTTACTGTGTCCAATCCATTTCATTGAGGGTTTTCTTTTTTTCACAAAACCTCTCCTTTCCCAAGTTTCATGTACTTCTCAAAGCACTAGTCACTCTTAATAACATGTACAAAGCACCTGAGATGACATCTCACCATCCTTACTTCTAAAAGATCATTTGATTTTACTTTTTTCAAGACAGATTTGTCCATTCTTCTGGCAATTCATTGTATATTTAATATTCTTCACCAGCATCATAATTCAAATGGATACATTCCACTTTGGTCTTCTGTATTCATTGTTCCCTTTTCAAAAGCATATATGAGGCAATTGAAAATATAATGGCTTGTGCCAGGCACACTTTTGTCTTCAAATATACATCTTTGCTTTTTAACTCTTTAAAGCGATTTTTAGATTTGCACAGTGTAATATGTCATTTGAAATCTTAACTGATCCATGGAAGTTGATTGTGGATCCAAGTAAAATGAAATCCTTAACCACTTCAGTATTTTCTCCTTTTATCATGATGTTGTTTATTGGTATATTTGTGAAGATTTTAGTTTTCTTTTTTTTTTAATATTTTATTGTGAATTATGTGATAGTTTACATGGGATAACATTGCTTTTACATTCATTCCATCATATATCATCTCATTGCCATGGTTACAATCCCCTCCATGCAATCCTTCCCCCGTGCCCCCCAGGTCTTTAGCACACAGTCATGCTCCCTCTCTGGATCTAAAGTCTCCAGCTGCTCCAT